TTGACCAGAGTAACGATGGAGGAGTATCGTCCTGACTCTTCAACAGACATCACCACATCCAAGAACCAGCAGGCATGTGACAGAGAACCCGGATAAAATCTACAGCGGTTCTGCCAGACACCAAAGGTTTATCTGTGACATTGTGTAACACCCTCTAACACCGTGTAAAACCCTATAAGACTAACACCCTGTAACATCACGTAACACCCTGAACACCGTGTAAGACCATGTAACATCCTGTAACACCGTGTAAAACCCTGTAACACCATGTAACACAGTGTAACACTATGTAACATCCTAAAACACTACGTAACACCGTGTAACACCATGCAACACCATGTACCACCTTGTAGTACCCTTCTACACCGTGTAGCACCCTTTAAAACCATGGAACACCGTGTAGCACCCATGGAACACCGTGTAACACCATATAATACCGTGTTAAACCCTGCAACACCGTGTAACACCATGTGACACTATGTAACACCCTGTAACACCGTGCAACACCATGTAGCACCCTGTAACACTGTGTAACAATATGTAACACCTTGTAACACCAGTTCCGTAGCAAGGTTAGATTTATTGGGGGGGCAATCATGGGGTCCGAGGAATGCTCCTCCTGAGGATTTTGAAATTTAGGGTCTCAGAAATAGCATCTTCAGCCTTCCGAGAGCATCAATTTTTACAGACCTACTGATCCATTCATCAACACAGAGGTCTATCAGTCTATGGATTTCCCGTTACGTCGATCTTCAGACTTACTCAGTTTTGACGTCACATGTGTCGTGAGGGTTTTAAACCAAGGATGTGCCCTTTCCTTTACTCCTGCCTTTGCTTGCCTCAAAATTTCACGGAACTCTTTAATATTCCAAATAAACCGTATTTTTACCTTCTTTATCTATATTCACCTTTTTTTCTCGAGCTTTTAATTCAAATAACTTACTCTTGTTTCCTCCAATAGTGCTTGGGTGTCATGCAACTGGACTTGTGTTTCATTCAATTTAACTCTTGTTTTATCCAACTCACCTATTGCATCGTCTAACTCAATCAACTAGAGTCTGATCCAACTTAGCACAGGCAAGTTAAGGTGCTCTCTCGTGGCTGCCTCAATATGAAATTCCACGTCTTTACGCTGAAACTGTAAAAAGAATAGTAATACTGATAGTGTATTTACTGAATTTTCTTTTGGATCAATGCGTATAGTAATATTTCGCCGCATACAAGTTTGATCGCTTAGTAAGCGCCTGCCGAGTAAGGCCTGGAGGGAGTATAGGTTCTGATCACAGCTGAGAAGGCAGATAGTTTTTTTGCGAAATATTCATGAAAAACAGAAAATGCCGCACAACTACTGTGTTCCCTTTTGCAATACTAAATACCTTTGAGAGTATGCCATCCAACATGGCAGCCAATACAGATCATACTACTTTGTTGAAAAATCAAAGTGCCTCAACATATCTCTCTGCGTTTCCTCTCAAATTTCGGGTATAAGAAAATTTTTATGTGCTCTATCAATTTTTGGCATCAGCTAGATTCCAACCAAGAGACTCTCCTGTTCCAACTCACTGTTTAAAGGAAGCATTGGTCACGTGACCTCTTAGTGCAAGTGGCCTATTTCCTAGATTTGTTCGCACAAGAAGTGGGATTTTTTCTAAAATCAGAAGCCTTGGAGTCGCTTTTAGAGGAAAGAATGTTTTTGTGTCTTACCAACAGGCTTTCGTTCTTTTCAATCGCAATAAATAATTCATAGTCCGTTGGCGTGTTTAGTTTCTCTCTAATTTGCGAAAGCATCAAAGCACCGTTTCAAACCCTTGTTCTTCCTTGTGGAGGAAGATTCTCCTTCATCGAGGACAACGAAAAATTCGTTTTTCAGAACGTTGGCCAACTTTGGTAATGGTTAACCTTTTTGTAGTGGAGAAAACAAACAAACATTTTCAGAGCTTATCCAGTCACTCTTAAAATTGCCGAACTGTGTTTTGAAACAACCGCCGCACATTCTACCAATTATCTGAAGCGCTTGGCTCTTTCGGCTTTCTCCTTCTTCGAGGAGCAGGCACAGGATTTGTCGGTGTATTGCTACTTCCACTCATTTTTAATCTTCTACAAAAAACTACATTGCATAGGAAAACAACGCTAAAGAATGCTTTGGAAGTACGGTTAGCACATCAAATGATGTTTTCAATCCGCTAAATTCAAAATTATATCTAATGAAGAAGAAACCTTGTCAATACACCCTATGTTAGCATAAGGACAGACGACAACAATCCAAGGACAATGGTTGTCAATGTGATGCTGAAACTAAAAGGAAATTGTGAAATAAGCGAACTAAGATCAAGTGCTTTTTTATCATATAAGGATAATAGTAGTTTTAAAGAAAGGTGTTTCAAAGGTCAGATTCCCGGTTTTGCTGGCTTTAGTGACACAAACTACAATAAAATGTATTAACCATTTCTCTGGGAATTGATTCCCCACAGCTCTTTGGGCAAGGAAGTGATAGTTTACTGCACTTTTCCAGGTGATCCTGCAAAAAAAAAACAAATATATTTATGTCCTTTCTCCCTCCCCAGATCAGGAATTCATTTGAATATTGGGCTGCATTACCTGAGCTTATTTACTGGCACAGAAAAAGATAGTAATCACAAAGTGCAGTGAAATGGCTCAGAGCGAAGGCTCAGAGCGAAGGCCCAGAGCCGGTTTAATCAATAACGTTATTAAATAAATTACAAAAATATTTGGTTCCAAGAAAAATGTAATGAGCCCAGTAAAGGTGAGGGCACAAAGAACGCTCGCCTTACACAAATTAAATCTGAACCACTACCAGAAAAGCACTGCGGACAGGGAAAGGGGAGGAGGAGGTGTACTGAAACAAACGTGTTCACCAAAGGAAGCAGGAATGAATGGCAGCTTGAAAGTAATGTAACAAGTCATGAACATGACACAAGGTAGTGGGGGTTCAATAAAATGAAATCTCCCATATCCCTGCCCCGTGACAGCCACGTGCCTTCTGGTATTACATAACAGATTTCATGCGAGACTACCATTTACATGCTAATATTAAGCCACCAAAGGCCAGGGAGAAAACCATAAAAATTCTATCTGTCAGACAAATATTCTCTTTATGTCCTTTCTCTCTCCCCAGATCAGGAATTCATTTGAATATTGGGCTGCATTACCTGAGCTTGTTTATTGAGCACAGAAAAAGATAGTAATCACAAAGTGCAGTGAAATGGCTCA